CGGTGGTATTTTATCGGTGAAATCGTCGAGGTAAGTGCAACGTATAAGATTTTAGCTGTCTAATAAAAGGCCAACAGGACTGTACGCAGGCGTTATGTGTAAGGTGATATTTTATGGTGCAAACTGCCTTTATCTTTTAGATACAGTGGGGTGATATTTTTCGATGCAGTCTGTCTGTGTTTCATCCCTTAGCTGTAAACAAACAGACCGGACTATGCATGCGGTTAGGAGCGGGAATCGTTTAATGACTTTTGAAAGGGTTCTGTTAATTTGAAAACAACTCCATATTCCATCGTACATGACCTTTCAACATGTCATACGGTTTGTACACATCAGCAGCCCTACTATCTTTTCCATCATAACCCATTCATTACTTCCATTCCACTTTAAAATTCGAGGATTTTGGCTGCCCCATATTTTCCGCGGTTCAGACTAGCCGAGTACTTCAGAAATTATGGTTCGGCCTACCAACGGCCAGTGACGTAGCGCAAGTAGGAAAGACATGCCTATAATAAGGGGCCAAGGAAGTCCGTGTTGTATGAGTAGTCGAGGGAGAAGATCGTGCCGTGTCGTCGGTTTGGTGTCGAACTAATGCTGGTGTTAAATTGTGTTTATTCCGAGTTAAGGCTCGCTTATATAACAAGACCAAGGCCACACCTCCCCGATCATACATGCTGACCCGCGGAGGTAACGAACAAGGCCCAGACAAAGCCGGAATAACACAAACAAGGAAGTCTGGCGTCATCACAAAGAACCGGCGCTGCATCTCGGAACATTTGGGGGCCATACGAGCGTCCGATCAGCTCGTAGCATCAACACCTCCATTAATCATCATATTCGAAAAACAGATTTTTTGATCTTTAAATATTGCCAGTTTACATTCCTGGGACCATCTCTCGCCCCTTACAGGCCGCAAAAAATTTTTTTGTCGATTTAGTCCGCTTAGATCGTCCCACTTAGACCGTCCACTTAATCTGAATTGGCATTCGAATGGCCGTTACTTATCATTCGTTTGCATTTATCAATTTTATCATTAAGTCAAAGGTCAGCCTATACCGCTCCGCTTTTCCTGTCCATCCAAGAGGTGGTAGCAAACGCTAGCAGCAACCATTCACTGGTAAAGTTGGCAGTGTCTTCCTCTTTTGAGGGTTGCTCAGAAATAACGTAATGGTGGGCATGGCGCAGAAGGAAACAGTAATGCCGTCGTTTTGAGGATCGAAGATTGAACTCTGTGGGCCAGGCCTTTTAGTGAACGAATGAAAATTACTGACAA